TAGAGATGTACAAGTTGGAGATATTGTTCTCATGATAGATGACAGTGCACCAAGAAATCAGTGGCCACTTGGTCGCATAGTAGAAACCTTTCAAAGTGCAGATGGATATGTGCGTAAGGTCAAGTTGAAAGTTAGGGACTCTACATATGAGAGACCAGTGCACAAGTTAATTCTTTTATTGACCGGAGAAGACCCCGTCGAGGAGCCAAAATAACTGTTAACTGTGACAATAGTGTTAGTTTGTTATGATTCTATGCTACAGTTTGTGTAGATTTAATGAACACTTTTGTTTTCTAAAGACAGTTACATGTTGAACAATTTGTGTTTATGAGATTGCAAGGTATTTTATGTTTAAATACAGTAATTAACAGTAAGTTTTGATGTTCCTTAAAGGTGATTAAGGTACGGTAATTCTTAATAATTTCCGAGCAAATATTTTTTATACGTAATGATAAGGTAAACAGTGTATATTGTGTAAATTGCTTTCACAATTTAGGGGAGCCATGTTAAGGTTTGGCCCGTCTTAGCTGTTATGCACATCGGTGGAGATAGCGTTTTACTTTTTTGACTAGAGCACGCGCTTATAGTTAGTTATGTTCTGATCACTAAAAGACACTAATTCCCGCAATGAGGTAAGACTTTATGAATCATTTAGTAATTTAAACAGTTAATAAGAACTTTATAAGCTGTAATTGTAACATAATTTAAGGATAATTTCTTAATTTGATGTATTTTGTTCATTTCAGTTTCTACGTGACAATTTCAATGACAAGCAAATAAAATAGATGTGAAAAAGACTAAAGAAGTTTGCTTATTCGTAACATTGGACAAATTGAAAACCTAAGCCCCCATAGAAGAGTAGTTTACACTCCCATCATTTTGAAACAACTGTTGATAAAAATTCCAGGAAAATACAAAAAGTTTTCTGATTTTTCAGTCCCAACGAAAGTACAGGAAAATCGAGCAATAATCTCATACCCTGTAATCTTCATCAGTGGCCATGATGACCAATAGGAATGGCTTGTTATGGCCAAGAGCTGAGTCAAAGTCGCACCTCTCCTCCTCACCCCAATTTCCATCCTGAAAATGATTGTGTACGATGGTGTCCTGACCCTGGCGCGGGTTGAAGTGAAGAGCAATTGGGGAGTCGCCATGACGGTCTTGTTGAAGGTTGATGTGGAATCTGTAAACAAACATTGATAAAACATGTAACACACTTGTCAGAAAAAATTGCACTTGCAAACCTGCATATCACTAAGTTTATATGACTTATGATAAGTATCTTTGGCTCTTTGTGCACAGGAACAGGAGTTTTACCATAAATCTTAATTTCTCACTTATTCCCATTTTTTATACAGGTTGCACAGAACATTTAAGGCACAAATGATGCAATCTTTCTTTGTGCCACAAAACTAAAGTAGGCACAAAGATGGTCTGGATATAATAAGATAACTGTACTGCTTGTTTCTTATTTCAAGTATACAAAAATACATATACAATTCCATTACCTATCAGCCCCCTCTTTCACCACACCTTTCACTACCACACAGTCTCCTGGGCTAATACTGTGGGGGATTTCCCAGTAGTGGTGCTTGGCCTACAAATAACAACAAAATTTTATCAATATATCACAGACTGAAGTACTGTAGATATGATGATTGTACAATTATTTTGTTGAAAAGCAGAAATCATGTTGAGAACTCGACAGATTTTCACAACCAAAATATTCAGTATTTCTTTATTCACAAAACTTAGTCATATCATATAACAGTATTGTGCATTTTATGTCCTGGTATTAATTGAACTTTAAATTATTTGGATAAATAATCTGATATATCAATTCTCTTATTAAATGATTAATATCATTTGTAACTAATATCATAAAAATTCAATGATTAAAGACCATAAGAACTTCTACAGAACAGCTATACAATGCTACCCTATTTGCATTAAATGTACCATGAACTACACTAAGGGTCTAAATACTAACTCTACTTTCCAATGGACAGTTTTGCAGACTGTGCACAAACCTGGTGTTTCATGAACTCCACTTGTATAAGCTCCACATCTCCGTTGATTGCAATCCTGTCTACATCATTGACATCACAACGGTAGTCAAAGTCCAGGAAATACTCTCCATTCACATAAACCTACAGGAAATACTTGATTTTTAAACAATTATGATAATAATAATCTACTTAAAATTTGAGCAAGAGGTTAACAATTTTAATTTTTGGTGTAAATACAACAGAACATCAAAGAAAACAATTAAGTTGTAGTCTTGGGGCTCATTCCCAAGGGAATTGGAATTCTTTGAGGAGTTGGATCTATATATGTAATACAATAGTTTCATTATGAACAAGCCCTTAAAATCAAACCATACCATACATCTTTTCTTTTCGCTTACCCTGTATTTCCCCTCCACAGCTGTGATCAAAACATCAAACATCTCCTCAGCTTGGAATGGGAAAAATGGCGCCTCTCTCTCCTCCCCACCCCAGCCGCCAAGGTTGGCATTACGGACAATCTCGTTCTGGTCCCAGCGGGGATTGAAGTGGAAGGAATTGTCACCAGAGCTACAGAGCAGGTTGATGTCAAACCTTGATAAAATAAATGTGGTTGATGTCAATGTGTGATAGGTTAAGCAGCTGATAACACAATTACTATAAGTGACATCAACTGCAATCCAGATTAACAAAGGATATTCTCTTTAGACCTTTAAATATAAGACAGCAGTAATATCATGAAAGGCTGACACTACATTTAACATTACACCACCCAAACATCCATATACTGAGATAGATATAAGAAAACATGAAGAGTAGTTACACATACTAAGATCCACTACCACAGACCAAATTAAATCCCAACAGTTTTCCTACACAGAAACATTCCCAAAACAAATACTATGTTTACCTGTATGGGTCTGGTTTGACAACACCTCTTATCCTGACAGCTCTGCCTTCCTTCATTTTCTTGGGTATCCAGCCTGTATATGGCATGTTCTAATAAAATAGAAAATATACTATATTACACACAGGGGTTTTAATAACTTTCCTGAAATCCAGCTTGAACTTGTTTATGTCTAGATAAAAGTGATATCTATATGTATAACTTATAAAAATGTTAAACCTACACTAAAGCCAAATATATGTACTATGTATAGGTACATATTAACTATGTGCTATGTAACTCATTTACCAGCTCAAGTATGGTTTAAGACATACCAGCTTATCAAATGCTCCGATCTCATAGAATTGTGCATCACCATGGACACTGACTGCTTTGACATCCTCAAAGGAGCCTCGGTGGTTGTAGCTACAGAAGAATTTTCCATTCACAAACACCTAAAATGGTACATTTAGTTTAGTTTATTTTACCTTTCAACTCAAAATTTTCATTTATCTGGAACCAGTGTTAGAAATTAAGGCTGGACCCTCTGCCCAGGGCTGACAACTTTCAGAACGGGCTGAGAAGTTTTCCCATCCAGCAGACATTCAGTCCAGCTACTTTTCATGATGGCTGGACTTTCGGTCCAGCAACTAATTTTCCTTAGAGGCAAACGCTGTCTGGAACATATCTTACACATTTTTTGCTTAATATTAAATAAATGTGAGCACTGCTAACTCAAACAAATTTTCCAGTCCCTAATGTGTTAACATTATGTGGAATATACAATAGGGACATAAAACTCTGCACATGACAATGATATATTTGAAATATTGGCTATTTTACAGTTCAAGTTGTGTTAAAATTTAAAAAAAAGTGGTAAAAATTAATTGACGTTCTGTGTGCATTACACCCAAGTCCAAACCAAAATAATCATATTCATTTCCTTAATTCACTTTTTAAAATGTCAAGTCCACATTTTATATTAAAAAAAAAAAAAAATTTCAAGTCCAAAATTCTCAATACTGATTAATAACGAAGGATCTCTAAATAGGTGGCAGCACTTACTTCATAGCCATAATCCCTGACCAAGATCCGGACTTCAAAATCAGCACCCTCGGAGAAGGGGAAGTCTGGCCCCTCCCTCTCCTCCTCCTGCCAACCCCCGTCCACCCTGGTGTTCCGCACCACACAGTTCTGACTCTGGCGAGGGTTGAAGTGCAGCAAGACATTGGCATCCTCACTTTTTGAAGTCTGCAGGTTGATGTGAAATCTTAAAGTCAAATATGAACATAATTATAGACCTGCAAAGAGACTGTGGGTTGAACTTTGAGTTTAAATGAATGACCTGCTCAGTAAATGATGACAGGCAAGGCATAAGTTGACTTATCTTTTATCTGTTTTGCCACATTTAAAATGTTCTTTTCAGTCTGATATCAACATGGAGAACATCACAGGATTTGAATAAAGTGAAGCATAGAATTATCTGTCAACATGATGTTACCATACAAACAATCACTGAAATGACATGTTTACTTATTGGCATTCTAAATATTTATTACTCTAGATCTGCATGCTGGTTTTTAGTTATTACCTGTCTGCCTCTGAATTTACACAGCCCTTGACAAAAACCTGCTGTCCAATGTGTAATCCACCAGACAGTTTCACATTGTAAGGTTTCATCTAGAGCAAAAGGAACAAAACAAGAATATGGATTAAAATTACCAACTAGTAATTTTTTTCAATCCTGTTTAAAACCCTCACTGCAATTGCTTTCCGGTCCTGAGTCAAATGTATTAAACAAGGCAGCATATGATGTCCAACATATAGTATTTAATGCAAAACTGGAAGTATAAATTTATGTATACAAGAAAATACAGATAACATTACACTACACTAAAATTGCCATATCTGTTATTTTTAATTCTGAACAAACACCTTTCTTAATGCACATTGTAATATGCAAAACATTTTTAAGAAAACATTATTTAACTCAAGACAAGCCCATGTATAAGCCACTCAGTTCTGCCCCCTACTGGTATACCTACCACCTCACCCTCTGAAGTACTGGAGCTACTGGTCTCCTCATTACCCTCCACTTGATAGTACTTTCTACGCTGAAAATGTTCAAAAAAAAATAATCAGTGACAGAAGTGTATTTAATGTTAATATGAATCCAAAAAATTACACACACTCTTAACACATTTGATTTAAAATCAACTTTAAGTTATCGACATTCAGGCCATAAAAAAGAAATATTTAACTTATTTGATAAAATATATTTAAAATGGGTAAGTCTCCAAAATTCATTTGGTTGTAATGCGTGATTTTACTGTCAGACAGTATCAAAAGAAACACTTTCAATTACTATGCAAGCCATGTGACAGACAGCTTGTGTCTAAATGAGTTAATTATGCAAGATTGAATGAATCACTGCATTACATGCACAGCTTTGTTTGAGACAAACCTGGATATGTATAAAATAATGAAACATGCCTTTTCCATCATGTGGGCATATTACAGTGATTATGCCATATGTATTCTTTATATGAATTCATAAATCAGTGATTATTTAATTTACCACATTGCCAAGTTCCAGGTGCTCCATATAAGCGCCATTTTTTACTATTTAAATGTGTTCCCTACAATAACGTCACACATTTAACATACAATGCACACACTTTCAAAGGATTTAACCTCTTCTGTTTTTACACTTCTGTGAAACTTTTCATCATGGCTAAAACTTTTCTGTGTACATATTTTTGTGTGGATTCCTTCATGTGTTAAGTAAAAATTGGCCTTTCATGCTCATGTTTTTATGAAATGATAGCTGTGCATTGAATATGTGTGTATGTGTTAGTGTTATTGGTCTTTGTTTTTCTAAATGACATCAACTAAAAACAGTAAAAAAGTAAGGATTACCGGTAACATAAATTTAGTCAATGACCTGAGAAAGAGTTTGCAAAAATCTAAAAATACAAGCTGATATGATATGAAATCTATTTTTCCTGATACAAGTTGAATTTTATCTTCAGTGATGTAGCTATTGGGGTTACATCATGGAGTTAGTCATTATTTAGTTATTCTGGACCAAATTGATAATGCTCTTTTTGAAAATCATGGAAGTATGAAAGCAATTCTTTTTTGTATGAAAAAAAAGTTATAAATATATAAAAAGTGAATATTGAATAAGTAGGGTCGACTTTTTCTGAGTTATCAAAATTAAATGTTCTCTCTTTTAATACACTGGAAAAATCAGTTATTAAATTTTGAGGCAAATCAAAGATAAATAGGCAATAATGATTGGAAAAAATTATTATCAAGTTTTGGCAAAACTCAACACAGGTTGCAAGATTTTAAACTGAACTTCACTCCATCATAGTCCATATATCCCAAACCAGCCTTCTTCAAGCCAACTCCCCATACTTATGATATCATACACTATTATATAATAATAATACCATCACAGCATTTCTACCCTCAAACACGTCAGGTACTTCTAATTCCACATCACTTAATTAGTGTCCTAGTCATCACTGGACTTTGCCTACTAATAGATTATTCAATATTTTATCTCACAGCAAATAAATTATATTAAACTAATCCAATTTGTAACAATTCCTCAGAATGCCTGGCCTCACCTTGGTATAGTACCTTTTAGTCAAATACTAAACATAATACACATACTACAATTTGTAAAGAAAACTGCAGTTATCCTTAGCCAAATCTTTCATTAGAATGACTTAAAATCAAAAGACGACTAGGGACACCAGGCTATTTGGTTATCACATATATGAGTACAGCTACATAGACTACTTTCACAGCCTTGTCATCACCCCCTTCTTTCTTCCATGCATGGTTGTCTAATTTTTGATGACAGACATTTTACCCCCAAGTCATGCATCTGAAATTTTTTGATTCTGGCAGAATAATAAATCACTGTCTGCATGATGAGTACAAGACTGGGTGTTCATCAGATCTAAAGGCAATATTCTTTATACAACGCTCATTCACTCTTTGATTATTTTTCAAAAAGAATGATATTCTCAGACTTTCAATTCACACCGTTGTTACACTGTTAGGTATATTTTATTGATGGTGTAAACTTATTACGTATGAAGCATACACAAACAGGGACCTTACAGTTAATATTATATGTGGTTCAGCGAGTTATTCAATCAATCTGCAAAAAAAACCATACAAGTTTCTTGGCTATGGTACAAAATGTATATAAACTGCACCTGTGCCCTTTCTTGTATATGCACATATCTACCTGCAGTAATATTATTGGTATCAAGTCCATCTCCAGTGGACTTCAGAAATATATCCCAATTATGTAATCCATATAGGAAGAGATCCATTAAAAACTGAATATACATCATCATCACGCTATACACAGGAATGCAGACAAAAAAATATGCACCAAACCTAAAATAATTTATTGGCCATTATTCTGTACTTGTCCTTTCACTTGACATTCAATTCTTAGTGTATTAAAGATCTATCTTTTGCCAAGCTGTGCACTAAACACAAATTCCTACATGAGATCTTATATAGGGCATAGCATGAAGAATCTTGCACTAAAATTGAAATATGAAAAGCTGAAGCATGAACGTTCAAGAGTTTCCTACTTATGATTTATCCAGTTCGTTGTGATATAAAGCATAAAAAATGCCCTCAATACAGCATGGTTTTTGAGACTATATTACACACAACATATATGTAAGGTGGATCAAATTCCTTTGTAGAGCAGTCAGTATAAATAAATATCTAACCCTCTTTGAGATTCATCACAGCATGCAGCCTAACAACACTCTCATAATGTACTGCCTATGTACAAACATTCAGTAATATACCATAAAAAACAAACTGAACAACCACTACCTCTTATATAAAAGATTTCACATGCAAAGATGACCATGTATATAAGATGCCAATGGTAAAAGTGCAACCCCTAAAGTCATTCTAAAATGAGTACTACAGACAATTCTTTCACAATATAACACTTACAATATCAGTAATAATGAGAGCCATGGTTGCTGATGGGTTGTCACCACTTCACTGCACACAACTAAAAGTGAGAGGACACACCTCCAGTCTGTTGCTCTACAGGTATATATATAAATGAGCTGCAGGTCATATGACTCATGACTAACCAATCATTTTACACCACTGAGCCACCATGTCATGATGGCCCACATGTGATGAATAATGTTGTATTGCACTTCCTGACTAAAACCTGATGTGAAAATATCACAGCTCTGCATTTTGTTCTACTACATTTAAAAAATTGACACAATGAATAAATATTTCAGATATAAATGAAAAAAATTAGCTTCTACTTTGTGAGATCAGATGGCTAAAAAGAAAGAAAAAATTCATAGCTTTATCATCAATTTTCTTGTAGTTACCAACCATTATTGTAATGAGATCACAACTCGGAAATAACATGTTACAAATAATGTAGCTTGTTTATCTTAATGCACTTACACAGAGTAAAATTGCTCTGCAGCAAATCAGTAAAACAATTATGGTCAAATCATGAAATTAACTTTAATCTGTGAGGAAAAATATTATTGTTTAATTATTTTCAATGACTGTAGATATTTTCACATGCACCAAACAGAACTAATCAACACCTCTAATAAACAATTTGATGATTCAACCCATTTACAACTTGGAATATGATATTAACAACACTCTTATCTTATACTAGCTGGTACTGTCCTATATATAAAATTATGGTAACCTTATGAACAATAATGTAAATGGAATGTGATATATAGCTCATTTTGAAGGCATTAGAATCACAAAAATTTCATAGATTTTTCTGTCTAAATTAGTATGGTCATATACACACTTGAATTCACATTCTACTAATTATTATTATTATTATTATTATTATTATTATTATTATTATTTTTGGAGTGGTCAAGTTATCAAGATTCAGAGCTGATTTCTGCATTCTATGTAAAAAGGAACACAAAACATCTCCAACTTGCTAACCATTTAAATCAAGAAAATTAAAAGCTGAACATTAACAATGTATTTCCACTAAAAAAAATCAATCATTATGACTGCTGTTATCACTATTTGATATAGTTTGCTGTACTAAATGCCCATCTTTCAAAGTAAACAAAGTATTTAAAAGTAAGATGTTTGAATAGGAGGAACTAATGGCAGTTTGAAAACAAATAAATGTATGTGTATTGTGCTGGTTTCTTTTTCCAGCCAAACAAACTGGTTTTAGTTGTTATTCTTAGAAAGAAAAATCTGGTGACCTACTTATCAGAATCAGTCTTTATCAGTTGTGGGCTGAAATAACAGCAGGGACAGTTACACTTAGCAGTAAAAAAGGTAGGTGCCTGTCTTCAGTCACATCCCTTTTTTTGCTCCCAGAAATGTTTGAAATTAATCACATGAATAGTGGATGCCACAGTGTCACAAACTTCAGATGACTTTAAACTAATTCATCTCTTTACAGTGACATGAAAATTCACCATGTTAAGTCTCAAGGCATATCAGCAGTTGGCAAACGAGAAGGCCCTTACAGTATGCTTTGAGTGGACAGAATGTGATACAGAACACTATGTTTTACGTGTGACAGACACTCTGACCAGAGAGCAATTCACACGCCAACTCCCAAAGACTCCCTGTATACACACAGAGCAGTTTCCAGTGGGACATCAGTATGTGGCCTATGTCTCGGCTGCCAAAGGTGGAAAAATGGATACCAGTAACTTGGTGAAATTTGGAGATATATCAACTCTGGTAAACTATTTCTATAGTGCAGTATTTCAAACTGCTATCAAATACCCTGTCTCTGCTTAGTCTAAAGCAAAACTTAACTTTTTCACTATCATATGATATTACTGTTGGCATTTCACTCCTCTTTTCGTTTCAAGTGGTTAGCTTTCATGGTTAGAGCTTAGGTGCAATGACTAAAGAGAGTACATTTTTTTGCATCAAATTAATTCAAGCTTTTTGCTTATAGGTATTCATTTACTTAATTTGGCAGAAAAAAATACACAAAAAATTTTTAAATTTTATAAGTAGTTCTAAAATAGCAGAATCATTTATGGTTATAAATTTTATATGACCAGATGAAATAAAATAAGCTAGTAAATGGCTTTTTAAAGAACCAGAAACAGTTAGATTAACACTGGACATGAAATAAACCATAATCTGCTTTTACTGAAAATTAAGTTCCTTCAGTATTACGTTATGTGCCTTTGAAATAACTGTCTGGCTGAATGTTTATTTATAAAGGAAGAATATATCTTGCATCACTTGAATCACTGAAATATTTTCTACTTTCAGATAGTACCCAATATACCACAACTGAAAATCCTTAACCTAGGGGCCAAATATGTCCACATCCAGATATTAAGTACAGACCCTCTCCCTGACAGCAGTTCAATAGCATTATGTTTAACCAGACTAAGTAACCCTCCCATGCAATATCCTTATGAATTTAACAGTACAACACAGTTGCTTCAATTCCAACTGACTAGAGGAAGTCTATACTCATTAACTGGTAACATTAAAAATCCAAGAGATCCAAATGAAATCATTCCTCTTGGCACTTTAAAATTTCATGCAGGTAAGGTTAAAAAAAAAAAAGAAGAATTATACTCATATTTTAATTGTTGTAGTCATTAATGGATTAAACCTGCAGCACAAAATTGCATGGTTTTAAGTTGCGAATTTAATCTGCTTTTTCTCCTTCTTCAGACTTTTTGCAAATGAGCAATTTTCATTGCAGGTTCTAATATGCATGTACCTTATAACATTTTATATATTTCAACAATGTGCCATAATACAATAACTGAAATTGATAAATAATTATGTATATATAAATAATATAAATTATTTATTAAAAGCTATATATAACAATTTCTTGTAGTAATGAACATGACAGAAATGTTGGACCTATTTCGAAGAGCAGTTGATTTCATCAAGGCACGCGGTAATGAATCCATGTTATGTCACTACATGTACAGAAACAAAACAGTTGCATACTTTCAAAATATATTCAACAGAAGAAGTGGAATAATGGAGGTTTATGTGAAAAGTTCAAATGGAGACCCAGGATCTCCAATCAATGGTAAACTCAATGGATTGTTTTTTTCTGTGAACCCTGATCGAAGAACCGGGCTTCCACCACAATTTTCCCTATTTGGTCCTCTGAGAGTGCACATCCCTCCCTCACATCTCTTCACTGCCAACACAAACCTCTATTTTGCAGATTTCTATTGCAATAACAAGGCCCATAAGGTTACCTTGGTACTAACCCAGCAAGGATCGGTTGCAGATCAATTCTGCAGAAAAATGCTTCTATCACTTATTCCTTACAGTAACCCATTTTGGTGGAAGCAGAATGAATATATAGGTGATCAGATGAGAGAATCCATTTATACCACTACCAGTGTTTGGGTTGAAGTTTTTTACACAGAAAACATTGATCTCCGGCCTTATCATAGAGCATTCAGTCGAGTGCCCTCCAATGGTGAAGTGAGGTCTAGTGGAGTAACCAAAAATCCAAACTGTAAGATATGCAATTTATAGATCTATTCAGACAGGACAACATTGGACTGGAAGCTCAGGGACTAAGTGTGGTCATCACATAGATGCACTATATATGTATCTATAACATGTACACAAAAAACTTATATTTTATCCAATTAACCAGAGTCACTGAAAGATGCAGCCAATTATCTAAAAATTCCAAATCCAAACATTATATCTTATACCATTTTTCATTAGATAACAAGTTGCTTGACAGACAAACTCTGTGTACTTACCTATTATCCACCAGATGGCAACAGTATGACTTCTTTTTTACCAGCACCTATCAAAGTCATAAAATAAGAAAGTCAAAGTTTTTTTAAAGAACTCTACAGAATAAATAAATAATATAAAAAGGAGGTGAGTAGTTGGGAGTTACGTGTATATGGAAAATAATGGCAGAAACAGATGTAATATTGTGCTAGATATGGCAGTTCATTTCTGTAGAAGTGTGCTACTTTAGATATACATATACGTCCAATGTAATGTATGTTACCTAACGAGTGTGCTTGTCTGTCAACATGTTATGCACTTGTGGATCCAGGAATTTTCATAATAAAGTTAATTTACCAGTAGCACTTCCAGAACCACTTATAAGATCTTGTACACCTAATTGCAGTTCAGGAGTAGCATGTGATGAACAGGCCTTCATAAAAAGGGGCATAGGGGTAAAACATAGGCTACATTTAGTTTGCATTTGTGTATATATATGTATAATATATTACATATTCATTTAAAGGAAAGGCAAAGCAGGGGGTGGAAGCACCCCCAGCATCTGCCTTTTTTCAATTTGTATCTCAAGTATCGGAATAAAGTAAACTAGGTTCACTGGACTTTATCAAGAGTTTCTAATTTTTTTCTTTCTTTCTTTCTTTTTTTGGAGGGGGGGATGTAACAGCAGATATAATTTTTGATCCAAGTCAAATGTAAAGTACAGCCAAAAATCTTTATTCTTATTAGCAACCTTAAAATCATGTCAAGTTATTATTTATCTATTCATTGATGTTTTTTTTTTTTTTTGGGGGGGGGGGGGAGAGAGGGGGTATGGGTGGTTTGTTCAATTGTGTGGTTATTTGGGAATGTGTTGTCTGTTAAAATATGTTGTACCCAAGGGTGCAAGAATGCAGTGAGTGTTAAAGAACATATTAAGTAAAGAACATATTGGAGCATGACAACATCTCAGATGCTACAATGTGTTAGATAAAATGGTGTGTTAATAATGGAATGGTATGACATGAAAGAATGAACTCACTTTGAAACTCATTATCTTTCCATACCAACTACGATCCAAGACTTATCTGCCCTCAATAAACATATCATCCATTTTAACTCGAAAACATCAGGTCTATAGACTGTATTATTTACATAATCAATATAAGAATTGACTTTATAATTTTAAACAGTTATGAGCACCCTACTTTCTTAGATTTCTCCACAGCAATGGAAATCATAAAATAAACTATTTTATACAAACTGTTCTTATTATTAAAATTTTCTTATGCTTCTGAAAATCAGATCCAAAATTCTAAGAACAAGCACCATAGTTTGCCCAACATTACCCTGACCACAAAACCAGCACACACACTGTGACAAACCATCCCATCCTGTCCTTACGTCAGCTACACCATGCCATATACAGCAGCGACATCGATATCACTAACCCACACATCTATAGCATGAACCCACATTGCTTTGGCATCACAGAGGGCATACCATACACTAATATTGCTGTGACAAAAATAAAAGCACATCCACAACTTAAGACACATCAACAGAACTATCTTCATAAAAGCACACTTGTACGAAGATACATCAACTTTGCCATCACGAAAACACTGATGATAATATAATATGTCATACATACACTCTCATTTTGCATTAGCCAACACTAAGGACGCCACATACCCATCAAAATGTGGTGTCACATTTTCTGATATTCTAATGAAATGTCATAAGCTTACTGGCTTTCCACCATAACAGTACAACTAACACATCTTAAGCAAACTGCAATCACCCTCTTAAACAATATCAGTGATGGTACATTATATCAGAGTAGAGTTTTGAAAAGCATGCTGTGGAGAAATGTTCTGAAAAACCATTATTCTAGCTAACACAGGCCCTTCATTTTTAACCTTCATTAAAGGTATGGTAAAGTGAACATAATTAACAATTCAAACAATATGTTTGCCTACAGCCTTAACCCCTCTCCTGATATAAATGATAAAATAAAAAATCTTTTATTAAAACTGCTTTAGTTTTAATAGCTTAACTATTTTCTTTTCCATATTGCATCTTACAACAACCAAACAGTCCGCTAAATAGATTCCATGATGTATGATACAATTTACCTGTCTCTTGGTAACCCAGTTCAGGAATAGGATGAAGTAGTGCTGTTGTCTCTCAACAGATGGCAGCACATGTTCTCCCAAGGGGAGCAGATGGAAGGCAATGGTATGGAAGGCTCAGAGATGGCTACGCAACTTCCAAGTGTCTTGTTTTATAAATACAAATGCACTATTGCCCCTAACAAGATGTCATTAATTTTATTTTTATTTTATTACAAATAAAATAAAGAAATATCTTAAATTTAGAGCTAAGTATCATCAAATCTCATCCCAATTGCTTCTGTATTCACATTTTTTACAATTTATTTGACCATTTACATAAAAGGTAAACTAAACAAAGTGCCATTCCACTCAGTCCTGTAGCCATCTTGGAGCCCAAACAGCAATGAAACACATCTACGCCAGACCAAGAAGCTCTGTAGAAAATGAAAGTAGCATGTAAAATTAGATGAAAATATTGCTAGTGATAGTGATAACCTATGAAAGTTATCATTACTAGTTTACTAGCAGACTATGTTAACTAATTACACTTAAAAATAATTTGTAAGTTTAATTATCACTGATGATTTTCCCTTAAACAAACCATATTCAAAAGTAAAATCATTCGGCAAAATGTTTCCTCCTAGCGAGAAAATCTAGATATATTTGAAATTTTACCTCATAGCAAGTGCTTACTGATTACAACTGTACAACCGAATCCAATGGAAAAGAACATGAAATATCTTTGAAACAAGTACCCCAAGGTCTGGTGAGTTGGCTCCACCCTCCCACTCCAAACAGGTCTGAGCATTCTCTGGTTGCTTCTTTTTCTGATGCCGCATAAGAGCAATTTTTTGATCGAAGACATTTGCACTTTGATTTATGCAATTTAAGGGTCATTTTGTCACTTCATAGCCAATGAGCATCAAATTACTATGTTTCATATGCCTTTTTTTCTCTTCAGCTAAAATTGTTAATTCAAATATGTGATTTCTTGGTCAGACTGATATAAAATTTAGTAGCATTTTTTGTGGGCATATTGATATGACCCCGCGTTTAAGTGAAGAAGACTAAATCAAGAAATAAATTTGAGTACAGTGAGCCTATCATTATTTAAAGACATTCTTACATAAACATCACAATAAACGGGGTTCTGTTATCATACTGAGATTGTCCATTTTCGCGACAGCATATTTATCAAGTGAGATTTTGCAGAATTTGGAGCATGGCGAGGTCAGAAATAACGGCAAACTAGCAAGAGCAGTAGGGTAACACATAAAAGCTGAGAGAAATTATCAATGTACATTTTTCTGGTCATTTTCTGACGATTCCCTTCACAAAGATTAAGGCTGTCACATTGTCACAGGAATTGCTTGTGACAGATCATAAAACTTTAGACTTTGAATAGGCCTTTGCCATTCTTAGTACTACACATAACATCCTGGTGCCTACCTTGGTCCATGAGCACAACTTCACTACAGAGTTATTCACCTGGGTTCACCCTAGCACTTGCTGATTGCAATAACTCCATGTGATAAATATGAATTTCATTCTGACATAGATCAACTTTTTGAGGTGCAAAACTTGAGGTCAGTTTGTAGGACAAATGTGCCTCAAATTACAGAAAATTATGGAAACTGTCAACAAAAAATGACTAAGTAAAGTTTGCTTCATATTATTTTAACATTAATCATGCTAAAGTGATCCCAGGCACATTTTATTCACAATTCATGAAATGACACACAAGAGTGTGACGTATGAACATGTAATTAATGAATGGATGATGAATTGGATGAAAAGGTCATTCAACCCATGTGATAGTTCACACTCATACCAAAGTAAACACTTAGCTGTTACACGTAGTAGTGTAAATAGGATGATCTCACAACAAAACTCAACCAACATATAAGCTTAGGAACTGTATTCTGAAACTTTTTCTCTGCAGTACACAGTACAGAAATTAATACCATTTTAAGATATCCACCTGATACTATTCAAAACAACGAAACAAAGTAAAATTGATTAAACCAATATGGTTTAAGTAAAAATGGCGGTATGGCAACTGTTGAATTGAATATGCAGAGTTCGAAGATCTAAGATCGAATGTCACATATACTAAATCTTACACACATGAACGGGTATGCAGGCTTTATGTACAGTTAATGTAAGCTGGCACAATCAAGGCGCCATGACGTTAAATGAAGCTGCCGTTGTTCTCTTTTAAAACATGTCGAAAGAAAACTGAATAGTGGCATAAAATATACAGTCTTTGGTGATTGAAGCACACGATGACATACCGACCATTCATACATGTCATGGAGAGTACAAAGAGAGGTGATATTTCCAATTACTCTAGAATATATGAACATGATGGTGGCTGAATTATATAAGATAATGAAATTGACAATAGGTGGCAATAGTGGACATGAAAACATACCAGTCTGATTAAGAGCTGAAAAGATAATGCTATCAATGTTACAATGTAGTCTGAATGTTTCTGTCTTAAGACAAAGTTTAAAAAGAAAAAAAAATGAAATGCTTTCGTAAAACTCTACAGAAATAATGCAAATGTGGAATCATAAGTTCAAATAAAGATATATTCTTGATGAGCTGAAATGACTGTGCCTGTGGTGCCCTCCCCCTCACTGCATGCCACTCTGTCGTGCACGCTTGACTTCCTCCTGGCTAATACGCTGCTGGATTATGAGGGCCGCGCGGCTGACGTTACTGGGGTTACCAGTGACGGACACGATGCGATTCCGGGTACCAGGGGTGAACACTCCCTTCTTGGAGATTTGGATGTTTGCTCCTGTAAATTGCTGAAGCTCTGTGATACCCCTCCCCCCAGGGCCCAGGATCACACCGACCAGCGTGTCGGCAACTTCAAGCTCCTTTTTCGTACCATCTGCATCCCCAGCCCCTCCTCCTTCCCCGCCCACAAATGAACCAATCCCTGTACCAAGGCCGAAAGAGTTCTGATTCTGCCCTCCCATGACATGTTTCTTTTCCCCTGCAGCCCCAGCTGCCATGCCCCCTGCATAATTCCCTGCCCCAAATGCCCCGCCGTTCATACCATTGCCACCATAGGAGTCGCTGAACAAGGTCTCAGCACCAAACCCACTGCTGTTCCCATACATGCCAGAGGTGTTGTTACCCGAATTGATCAACCCGGCTGTGGCTTGACCCACAGGCCCAAACACATTACTTCCTCCACTCCCTGCCTGCTGTCCATTATTGGGCATTCCGAGGAGGGAATTAGCACTGTTCATTCCAGGGTTGGCCACCCCACCCCCGGCCCCACTCCCAGAGGCAAAGGCACCATTACTGACATTCCCAGGGGTGGAGGCATTCATGAGACCCCCCAGGTTTTGTGTGAGACTAGCAAGATTGGCCAGGCCCCCCAGCCCCAGCCCCATTCCAAGCAGACCGTAGTTAGCCAGGGTGGTCAGAGCGGCAATTATTTCATCAGCAGCTTGGTCAGAATAGCCACTACCTCTCAATGCAGCTCGAAGATTCTCCACTGCCATGTTACCACCAGTTCCGCCTGGGCCGCCAACTGTGCCATTCCCAACGCCGCCACTGCCATTACTGCTAGGTCCGCCGCCACCCAAATTGAGGTTGTTGAGACTCTGCCCGATATTGCTGCCATTGAGAAGACTAGCGGGACTGCGGGAGCCTGACTGGCCATGCGCAAATGGAGACCCTGTTGGGTTAGAACTTGCCACCGGTCCGGATATATCAGCGTAACTTATATTGGGGCAGCTTCCACTCTGTGGGTCTTCTGATATCTTCTGAAGGATCATTTTGACAGCTGCTTTGTCATTATCAGCTTCACCTGGAAAAATGAACAGCTGGTACCTATAGCATACCAGATTGCTAAACAGACAAAATGATGTTGTCATATATTTATTGTTAATTCTCACTTACAGTTATTTATTTACAATTAACGACTAAACGAAGATGTATTGCTTGTTAAAGCATTTCATTAAAATCACGACAGTCCAATATTTCGGAGATAAAAAATTCCAAGTAAACCTAAAAATATTGTTACGTTTAAATAAAATTCCCATATGTTTGACCAAAAAAAAAAAAAATCCAAGTAAACCTGAAAAATTTGTGACAACTTTGAAGTATGAATCTGCTTAATATTTCAATATAGGAGAAATAAATGTCAAAAACATTTGAATAAGTAAAGCTTGACCTGCATACCTGCCACAGTGATGCATCGTTCAGGTAGATTCATTTCTTTTGATTTCTGTGAAATCTGTACGTATGCCCCGCTCTCCTCTTTGATCTGTCTTATGTAGACCCCACCTTTTCCTATGATCATGCCAGCTGTGCTGTTGGGAACCAGAATCTTGACCTGGATGATGAAATGAAATACAAATTAATAGCATACAGTTGAATAAATACAAGTCAATAGCTACTCTATATATGCCAGCATAAAATCATGCCATTACAAATTGCAACTGGGTGCAAATACAACAAAACGATGTTTGCCGTGATATTTTAAGAGAAGGCTAGAAAAGTGATGGGTTTACTAAAACTATATCAAAATGTCACTTCCTGGAAATATGGCACAAACAATAAGATAACTCAAAAATTAAACTGAAATCAATATAGCTCTCTCTTGATATCAGAATTATGGAACTAAAAGAGGCAAGGATTTATTATTTATCATACAGCCCCCTCCTTGCTTCAGGAAGATCAATAATGCATAATGTCACTGCTGCAACAGTGGTAAAATATTCACATTTCTGGACAGTTTTATTTCAAGTGATAATGGAATAAAGGCCATCCAGTAACTCATTTCTAAAGATCTACCAAGTTTTTTACAAATAAATTACTAAAAAAATTCTCTCAAAGTCTCTGAGCAAGTCAATCATTATGCCTGTCAAGGATCATTTTTCATCTAAAACTTTCAGCCAAAATAAAATGTGAAGCAGAATAAATCTGCAGTTGTATAGTTTTATGCAACAACTGATGGTCTTACACATCAACAACTCAATTTATTTTGCTTGTGTGGAAAAAAAGTTGTACATTTTTTACTATTTTGGTCTTTTCAACATTGCACTGTACCTGTTTATGTCTTTCTAGATTGACCTTGACCTCTCCATCTACCGGTTTAGGATTGGGGTCTGGCTTTTCTCGAATTTTATCCATGACAAAAGAATTGACATTCAGCACAGACTCCAGATTACCCGTCATAAGGCACACACGCTCACAGGTTCCTGGAATTAAAACAGCTGAATCTTTGACAAATGATAAATTGGTTATACGGCACAAATACTCTAGAATGGTAAAAATATGATAAGCGATAAATAATAAATCACATGAAGAATAACAAGCACAATATTTGTATGTATTATCTTATCTATCATAATCTATCATAAATATCCACAGAATTTTTCATATGAACAATAACAATGCACTACAATGTTAGTTATTAGACAATTAATTTTTTTCTAGCATCTGAAAAACATACATGTCATGCATATATGTCACATCTAAAATCCCAATATAACATACCAGGATAAAAGTCATTGGCTTTGGACATCTTTATCCTGGCTCCAGTTTCTTTCTGAAGCTGTGCAATGGTTTCTCCCCCCTTGCCAATGATGGCACCAGCTGCAATACTTGGAACAAGCACCTTAAGTTGGACATTGTCAGCTGAAAAAGATAACAATCTTGAAACATAATTCAACACTTTTTTTTTATCCTGTGATTGAAGATTTGACTTACAGAAGTGAGCAAAACGTACCTTTTATCAATTTATAGCTTTTATAGTTTATAGACTTGTAGATAACTCTTTTGAAAGGAATTAGTCTAGCTTATGTACTAATCTTAAGTTGTGCTACTGTAGGTTCTAACAGTAATAAGATTGTGAACACCATGCTAGTTTTCAAGTGTCCATAATAATGTGAGACTTTTGACAAGTGCCCCATATCAATGTCTGAAAACATTGTATTTCCCACACCAAAAGTATCCAACCTTTAATACTATTTATATCTTACTGCCCCCCCCCCCCCCCAAACACCATCCCAATCCAAGTCAATACTTCCAAAAACTTAAATAATCCAGGTTTTCACACTTGTTAAAAACTCTCTGTACACCTTGGAAAATGGACATATATGCAGTATGTCCAACAACCTTATATATATATATGTATTTAAGTGTTTGATGTTTTCTAGATTAAGTTTACGTAGTGATCAATGTATGTGCTATACAAATAAATTGTATAAGTTTTAGAATTCACTTACCGATTTTTGTTTACACTTAATGAACTCAGCTCCCATTATTTTTGAATAAGCTCAAATTTTCTTGCAAAAACACCCAAAAATTCAAATATTTGACTTTAAAAATAATTTTGACATAACAGAGACACTGATCAAAGTGGCGAGATAACCGAGTTTGAAAAACATTGAAAATAAGACTTGCTATTTTGGGGGAGGGAGGGGTGCACACTGTCTTAGTACCGACAAACGTCACGTCTCTCTTAGTCACACAATAACTATTTTAAGTACTAAAATTTAAAACAGCGTCTATTGATGCACGCCGCAAACTCTAACGTTCCAGAAGCACCGCAAATATGTTTCATGTTTATGTTCAATGTTACAGAGGACGCGTAGCAGACCACGCTGTGTCGAGTGTGAAACTCGGCATGGGGAGCAACACGTTTCTGGGCCGCAAGCATTCAGCGTCTGAACAAGGGGATATATCTTTGTAAGGGGTCTCGAGACTAACCTGCACCCTGGTTTGACCTTTTGGAATTACCACTGTCCATTTCCCCGTCCAGGGGCCGTTTTCTCGAATCCGATGTAGGATCTACATCAGAGTTCATCATGTCCGATACAAATCTCGAATGTTCTCGAGCAGATGCAGCGAGAATTTTCAAGGTCAAACCCACACGCCAAAGTGTAAACAGTGTAAGCAATAAATAAACGGAAAAGTTTAGGCATGACCTCTGTGAGCACGTCCACGAGTAATTTTCAATTATATATTTATATATTGCATAGACTTATATGTCTCAAAACTATATGCCTCAGAAGAAAAAAATAAACGTTTTATCTGTATCTTGACTGTCGACTTGATTCTTCTGCTTTCAAGTTTCGGCGTTTTTACTGATTTAATTTACACAAGGTCACATTTGAATGTGGAAAACAAAATATTAGAAAAAAATACGAAAGCTCAAATAAAAACAAGAATCAACTTTAAGTCTAAAATATTAATTCATCTAAGACTCTAAGTACAATTTTTGACGCTCCAAAATTACCTCCGCCCCCAACCTTGGAACCCGCAAAACGCGCGCGATCTGACATACCTATGTAGGCTACCCAGTAGGCCTACCTACTCTTTCTCTCATTTCCCATGTGTGCTAAGTGTTATATGTAAGAAAAAATTCAAATGGCTCCAACTGTCCAACCTCTACCTGAGTAATATTTCACTACTCTGCATGTATATATAGGCACAGAAGCAGATTGAAAATAACCCCGTATTTTAATTAATATTAAAGAACGTAAATTGCATAAATTAAAACCTGTAATACAGGTCAGATTTTTCCATAGCGAAGTACGATTGTGACAGAATGATGATCAAAAAATTGCAAAATTACCCGTTTTTAATTAATTAATTATTTAATTATTTTTTCTAGGCTAACCCTATCATACTTCTGATAGCCAACTTTGGCCCTATCTCAAGTTAAGTCACTTCAATTTAAAAATTAATATTAGGCCTAAAATGGGAGTGTGGGTCTTTTCATTAATATTGCGTCTCTTATTCCAGTTTTTTCTATTTTAAAATAGGGCCTACGGTACACATTCGGAAACAGCTAGGGCGAAGAAAAAAGGGGTTCTGGCTCAATGGTAGTGGATCTATAGGCCTATATCACGCACACATGTATCTTTATAGCTATGTAATATATATTTCATTTTGGAAAATTTAACATGCAGTTTTTGTGGATATGAAACATTTCTAACAATAGCCTATAGCAACTTAATTAAAAAATTACTAGATTTTTTTTGTTCTCACATAAAAAACATGAAGGGGCAAAATCTTAACATTCGTTACTGTCGCTCGCAGCTCAAGGTCACGTTCTCCAATCGATACAGTTTATTTTTACTAACATGGAAAATCTGTAGCTTATCATGAAACGGATATGATGTTTAACGTCTCAGAATATGTCTAGAATGTTAAACAACTCGATAAATAGCTTGCGTCTGCGTGTCGCTGAGTTTTTAAAAATTGAAAAAAAAAAAAAAGCTTTCGTTACGTCTTTTGACGCAGGTCATCATTTTTAGTTGTTTGATGTTTTTGTAATATTTTAGCCATTAATAAAATCTTCAATTCAGTTACATCCATGATTAGTAAGACGATATTGTGACAAGACACACTTAAATGTTTTAAAACTGCATTCTCTGGGAAAGTAATTTGCATAACCTTCGGTACCAGGCATTGTGAAAAAAACATACTATTGAGGCTATGTGTCAGTAAAACAAACGTGCACGTGCATCTGGTAATACCCCTACAGCATAGTTTAAATTTTTGCTGAAATTAATAACTTGCAAATATTATCCACGAGGGTTGATATTTTCAAAACTTTCGTTACTAAATTAAAGCTTAAACCTTTGATACTTAACACGAACATTTCTAGCATGTTTTTTCAAATTGACCATGATTTACACAAAAAGCTAGATTTATCACTTTCTCCGAGAAGAGATTTAGAAAAAGTATAATTCGCGAATATATTTTTAACTTCATTTTTCACTTTTCTGTTGTTTTTTTTGACCGATATGTTAAGATTTAATGATAAACAACTGGTCATTCTACTTATCATGACGTTGAACATTTCAGTTACATTTACTTGACATTTGAATCCTCATGATAAATAAATATCCTAATATGACTTCAAAACACGCGCTTATGAACAGCCCGTACAGTGTCACAGGCGCACAAGAAACAAATCTTATAATGTGCATGTTGACTATGTTCAGCCGGCTAACCATTAAAAATAAGAAAAATAATAAAATGAAAAATAATAAATAAATAAATAAATAAATAAATAAATAAATAAATAAATAAATAAATAACAACATAAGACAAAGAAATAATAAATGATAAAATTTAATAGAGTAAAATAAAATCAAATAGCGACGGGAAGGGGAAGTCCACTTAGACCTGTCCCTTTTCATACTGACGTCGTTTAATAAGTGGGGGACTGACCCCCCTCCCCGGCCCCCACGCCTACGTGTCAAGCGATGTTCGTGCTAACATTGAACCCTAGAGGGCGGCACTAAAGAACACGTGTGACGTCAGCTTCAGTTCAAAATGGCTGACAGCGAGTTGAATGTTGACAGTCTTATTTCCCGCTTATTAGAAGGTAAAATTATCTTGCTGCTGATGCAATATGTGTTTAGATGTGTTAAGTTTGAGTGAGATGAAGTATTTGGTTGATGTTTAAGTCCTTTTCTCTTTCATATTTTAAGCCCAATTCCTTCTATATAAGTGTTTTTACGTTGCCCTGGAATTGAATGTGTGCAACTAAGTTGGGCGGGTGCCCGATCACGGTTTAATATCTGCAGTACTAGTAGGGGATTATCACCTATCGAGTTAATATGCTGTAAAATATTTGAATTTCCAACATCACTACAATACTTCAGTCGGAGTTTCTAAACGGCATTGCTGGTATCGTAACCATCTATTCTGTAAACATGCCGTTCCGGCTTTTTTTTTAATGTTTTATTTCTGACAGTGAAAGAGCTATATATGGCAACAGGTCAGATGTGCCTATCGGTAAGCCTATTTATGGTTGAACAGAAATGGAGAAGTTCTCAGTATTGCTTTGCCAGGTCTGTAGCCATTTGTCAAAAGTTGGTCCTCATAAGTCAACTGTCATAACCAGCTGATCAAACCCACACAGTTGTCCCACCTTGGGAAAGAAGCATGGAACCTAGACCAAATGTTGATGAAACGTGGACTTTTCTAGTCAAAAGAGCAGCTATTCCAAACCCCTGCCCCTGCCTATGGGCATGCTAAGCTAAAACTTGAAGTGTTTGTTCTAATCAATATATGTTAGCAAACTTTGATATCATAGCATAAATGTTAAAATTCTATGTTAATCATATACCACTTAAGCTTAAATTAAATTAGACAGAATTTTTTTCATGTCTGTTTTGGAACTTTTTAGTTCGAGGATGTCGTCCAGGAAAGACAGTCCAGATGACAGAAGCAGAAGTGAGAGGATTGTGCCTTAAATCCAGAGAAATCTTTCTAAGCCAACCGATTCTGCTAGAGTTAGAGGCACCTCTGAAAATATGTGGTGGGTAAACTTTTTGTCTTGGTCATGGTCACACGAGGACTAATTTATAAAGAACTTTGGTTAATTGATGTCCCCAGATGGATAGATTATAGGAGCCCCACATTGAATACTATAATGATATTATTTGATTTATTTCCATAGTTAGTCTACATGTGAACACTATCCTTGACTAACAAACGGGTCTCCAAAAATTAAAGAAAAATTGTCCTATATAGAATAATTAAAGGGATAAAAACTCTTCGTATGAAGTTCATATATTACAATATATACATTGTAAACAACTCATAGAAATATGATAAATTCTCTTTTACCACCAAAACAAGGCAGCATTTTACCTGAGTTCAGATGTGTTTTAAATTGTAAGATACCAATTTCAGGTGACATACATGGGCAATACACAGACCTGCTGCGCCTTTTTGAATATGGGGGATTCCCTCCAGAGGCCAATTACTTATTTCTGGGTGACTATGTTGACAGAGGAAAGCAGTCGCTGGAAACTATTTGCCTGTTACTGGCCTATAAAATCAAATACCCTGAAAACTTCTTTTTATTACGTGGCAACCATGAATGTGCAAGCATCAATCGAATTTATGGATTTTATGATGAATGTAAGTATTGGAAACTTTATGAGGGTAATTGATTAAACAGTTGGCAAAATCAGGGGTATTTATGTATTTACATTGTCACGATGCATGTGTTACTTGTATTGAGATATTTTCTCCAATTTGCACCAACAATAAAACTTTGAAACATTCCATAACATTTTTAGATTGACATTTACGTTATAGAAAAAATAGGATATTATAGCATTATTTATTAAAAATAAAATTAATGCGCCAAAAAAATATAAATATTCAACATCATTTTTCCTTTGATAGGTAAACGAAGGTTTAACATCAAGCTATGGAAGACATTCACAGACTGCTTCAATTGCTTACCTATAGCTGCCATCATAGATGAAAAAATATTTTGTTGTCATGGAGGTAAGTAAAACAAAATCATCAGGTTGAAGAGATTAAATGTGTGTGTGTGTGTGTGTGTGTGTGTGTGAGAGAGAGAGAGAGAGAGAGAGAGAGAGAGAGAGAGAGAGAGGGTCAGTTGTTGGTGATTTTAACATGTCATAACTTCATAAGAGTTTATATTTAAAATTCCTCAATGTATCACTGGCTTAATTTTCAAAAAAAAAAAGAAAAAAAAACATCATGTTTCTTTTAGATTGCATTTTTACTGTCTCCCACAGGTTTATCACCTGACTTGCAGTCCATGGAACAAATCCGACGAATAATGAGACCAACAGACGTACCAGACACAGGTTTACTGTGTGATCTCTTATGGTCTGATCCAGATAAAGACGTCCAAGGGTGGGGGGAGAATGACCGGGGAGTATCTTTCACATTTGGGGGAGATGTTGTCAGTAAATTTCTCAACAGACATGATCTTGATTTGATCTGCAGGGCACATCAGGTAAGAGCAATATAAAACTGGGACAGTACTCAAAAGTGACATTTTTTTCTAGTACAGTTAACATTTTTGAAGTTTCTTTTTTTACACATTAAGCAATTAAGCAGTATGAAAATTTTTCTTTTATTATTCCGTAGTTGTAAATAGTAGTTATGTATAAGGATGAAGTGTTTCTATAAACATTTGTTTTATTCTGCATTGCCCATAAGATGATATTAGATTGTCAGTCATTGTGTCATTAATTATTAAATCTAAAAAAAATTAATTCACCTTTTCAATTTGCATTAAAAAAACAAAATGTTTTATATAATATCAGCAATTTTTAAGATACCTGTTTCCTTAACTCACCCTTAGTTTTTGCATTTTATCCCTTGACATTTTAACACAGACATTATATTTATATCACAGGTTGTTGAAGATGGATATGAATTTTTTGCCAAGAGACAGCTGGTGACCCTGTTTTCAGCCCCCAACTACTGTGGGGAGTTTGACAATGCAGGAGGAATGATGTCTGTAGATGAAACACTCATGTGCTCCTTCCAGGTATGTATTAGGTATGAGAATGCGAGTTTGCTTTAAGAGATTGTGTTGGGTGTGACAGTACAAGTGTGTTAATATTTGGTAGGATTGTTTTAGGGGTGATAATGACAGTGCCTGATAAGATTGTGTTAGAATTTTGAAGTTTTGACCATAATGATTTACTATGAGAACTGTTTTCTTCTTTAAATAAAATACTTGCATCTTTCAAGTTTGAAAAAAAAAAAAAATAGAAAAGAAAGCACTTGCTTGAGGTCTCCACATTTTTTATTCTAAACTCCAAATTTTACTTTTGTACCAGATATTGAAACCTTCAGAGAAGAAGGCCAAGTACCAGTATGGAGGGTTAAACTCAGGACGACCTGTCACGCCACCTAGAGGTGCCACACAACCCAAGAAGAAATAGACTTTGAACTCTGTTACCTTGAACATTTACACTAGCTGACTGCACAAACATTGTGCGGTGCCCAGAAATTATATTGATGGGCCATAGGATTGGGACAAGACTCCCGATCTATACATCTTCAGATCTTGACCTTTATATCTATATGAATACATATACATATATATCATCTGATATATAGCCAGTCGTTTTTTATGCAAGACCACTGTGGCGTTGGAGAGGAATTTTTCATGTGTTATTTGAAGTAGCAGGTAATGTGCTGCATTAATCTGTGGAATTGCTTGTACCACTTGGCATGGTGGTGTTATGTTTAGTGGATGGCGACCTTTTGCTCATTCTAGCATGGAAGAACTTTACAAAAGAAAATAAGGTGTTACATTTTTCTTTTACAAGTTGGTCTCTGAAATGGTTGTATTTTTTTTTTTTAGTTCATTAGTATTGTCATAAAGATATGCTGGTGTACACCAGGTTAGGAGTAAGTGTGATGGTGATTGTCACAATTAATGTGGTATTTGTTAAAAGAGGAAAATGAAGTGTGTTAGATGTGACAGTGATCACAACCAAAATGTCACAATTTTTCAAGATGATATTGTTTTGTTGCATATTGTAAATTTTTTTATGATAACCATGACAACATTCTCACCACTTGGATTACACTTTTTTTTCCCGTTTTTGGACACTTTTGTTGTACAAATTGATATTCAGATCTTTCTAGCTTAAATAAGTTTCCAAGTTGTACTTTAGATGATAATCCTAAAGCATACCTCTGGGTCTTTTAAAAGTAAAAAAAAAATTATGTCTTTGACAAAGAAATGAGAAGAGAATATTACTTCCTTGTATTTTGTTATGCCCATTGTGCCGGGGCAGCTAGCCAGCACCTTCTCATATGCCAAAATATCTCCACAGTCATCCAGTTTAATGTTAATAATACAATTCAGTTGCTTCCTAGTTAAAAATTCTGTGATAAGGATGGCACATTAACTTTACCTGTTAATAGAAAACACATGCTTTTTGACATTTTTTTCATTTGTAGTATCAGCTTTTTATTGAAATGTTTATGAAGGCAAATGGGTTTCAGTTTCCTTAAATTCACGCCAATAAGTCACATAACATTTCCCCCTCCTTTCATTTCTCCTCCTCCCACCCCTTTTATGTTCATTTCAGCTCATCATTTGCAGTTAGCTATCATTTTCATCATGTAGATTTATAATAATTTATTTCTGTTTTGTAACAAACGTGTTCTTTTTAGTTGGATCAGTTAAATGTGTTAAAATAGTATGCATGCATTGTCACTCATATGTTGGACAGAGAAATAGAGATAATACTGTACACTGCATAGACATTATCTCTTAAATATCCTTTTGATATCATTGATTACAAAACTTAGCCATCAGTGCATGATTATTATATCCTGGAAAAACAAATAATCAGAATGAAGATTAGAAGTAGACTGAATGCAGCTGATCTTCACTTGTGAATAATAGTGAACATGTCTTTTCTTTTTGTATATCAATAATTTTTCTTTTTGTAAAATATTATATCCCACCCCACCACCAAGCTACTGTCCACCATTAGTGACAATATTGATACAGTATGAAGTGCTCATTAGTGTTAGATGGTCAGGCAGGAAAAGGTTATTTACAATGGGTATCTTGATGGGTGTGGCAGTTTCCTATAAAAATGAAATTTAAATTTAGTAATCTGATTATAAGATATGTGAATATGTTACTAAAATGATACAATTGGTTAAAACAATGATGGAATCGAAGTATTCAGCTTGCTAGTTTTTGAACAAAAAATCTTAGCTTTTTGTGGTGAAACTGTTAAGAAAATGGGCAACTTGAATCAGGCTTTTTGTCTTGTTTTGAGAGGTCAGTGTGATCAAGTTTGTTTCCTTTAAGTAAAACTGGGGAGAATGATATTCTCGTTTACTAATGG